AAAATAAATAAAAGCAACCCACAAGTCTTGTCTCTCATAACAAGCCGGCTTTATCTTGGCTTACAACTCAGTTGTGCGTTGCTGTAAAGTCCTCCTGGAAGGCATGCCTCTGCCTCTAACAAGCCAGGCTCTCTGAGCTCTGAAGAGAGACCCCAGTGAGAGAATCCAGCCCCCCCGCTCCCTCTTTTTTTAACAGCACGCAGCCAGTCTCTTGTGTGAGCTCTGGCAAAGATCAGTCTCACTGACTGTGGGTAAGTCTTTGTAGGTCACTTTTTAATGATGTATTTCTTTAATGGAAACAATTCCTCCTTTCTCCTTGAGGGCTGGGGTGTTAATTTGAGTTTGGGTCTGTTTTGTAAAATAACCATTTTAAATAGAGGGTGTTTAGCTCCCTTTATTTTTTTCTTTCTTCCTCTCAGTGTATGTGTTTTCTCCCAGTCTGCCTGTCCAGATGAAAATTGTATGACCCTCAGAAGGCTGGAAAGATGAGGAGTAGAATGAGTTTGTGGTACAGAAACCTGGTCAGGGCATGTTATTTATTCCTTTAAAACAGGTAATCTGCTTTTAGCCAAACTTATATTATTTCACTTTAGTGTTCTTGCTGCTGAATAGCTGTCAGTTGCTGTAGAATGGCCTCTCAGCTCAGGGTTGTAGCAAGAGTGACAGAGCTTAAAACCAGGTTTGCTTAAATGTGCTTTAAAAGGTTACCTGATGTATTTTTTCATCCACTTCAGTGGACTTGCATTTGAAATAGTTGCTGCTAAATTAGATCTTCAGAATAACTTACTCATGTTTTTGTCTTTTTCTCTCACAGAGAGATTGGAGAAACTGTGTACAAAAGAAAGCACATATAGAGACATACACTAAGATGAAGCCATTCTTTTGAGCCAAAATGGCACACTACTTCTATCTGTTCTCTTACTTAACTACACAAAGGGGAAACCCAGTCTCTTCCTTCTTCTCCCCACCCCTACCTCTTCAAACTATGCAACATCAGGAGCCTTAATACACAGCTGTCGCTGAGCGCAGCCCAAAGCAGTGTCTCGTGGAATCAGCACACTGGATGGTGGCTGATAGTTTTCATATTGTCTTTCCCAATCCTGTCTTCAGTTCACTAACCTGTGCTGTTTGCATGCCTTGTGCAGCCAGCACTGTTTCTTTGGATGCAAGATTGCTGTTACTGATGGGTCGAACAGAGCTGGATTGATATGGTTATATTTGCGAAGATAAATAAAGCAGGATTAGAAATTAGTCCTACTAACCCCCCCACTTGGATTTTTCCTAAATCTCTCACCATAGCTTTAAGCAGTACTTGACCATTCTGTGTTGTGAATGTTGATCTCACGTGGCACCAAATGTAGAAATGATGAGAACTCAAGTGTCATGGTTCAGATCCGTTTTTCTGCTTTCTCCACTGTATGGCAGTGGAGATTGGGGGAGGCATCTATATGGGTCTATAAATATATTTTGCTTTAGCAAATCTCCTGAGATTAAATCAGATTAAACAAGATAAACTATCCATGTGATGTACCCTTTAAATAATACACCCACATGGATGTGCACAAAAGACCTCTGTCTAGGAGAGCAGAGTTGTTGGAGAGGTTTATTGAGATGAATGGTATAAATAAAATGTGTATAAGGGCGTTTCTGGGAAAGGAGCATTTACAATCGAGGTGCAATTTAATTAGGAGTCAAGGTGCTTTATGCCTGCTACCTGAAGAGGCTTGTTACATAAATTGGCATTTGTTGTAATGACTGAAGTGTGTCTGAAACCCTCTTCTCATTAGCTGATCCCATTCTTTTAGCCTTGTTTGTTGCAGTGAGACAAGGCTGGCCTGATTGGGAAGGCAATTCAGCAGACTGCCAAGAAGCAACTCTTACTAGCCTTTTGTGGTAGCCCATTTCCCGGGCTGCACGTGCCTTTCAGTCCTGGTGTGTTAATGCTGCTGGTCAAGATAAGGAGCAAGTTGTAATAGATCTGTAGAAAATGTCAGAATTGGGGAGGAGAAAGGAAGAGGTAAGGAGACAGAGGACTTGCCTTTCCAGGCTTGGAGTTATCAAGACTTTAAGACTATAAATTAGACTGAAAGGGGAGGACTGGTGCTGTGGGGGGATGGTATTCAAGGGGAAGAGTGTGCGTCTTGCTTCCTACTCAACTTTGTAGATTTCAGGACTTGTGTAGATCTGGTTCAGGGTGTGCAAAGTGCTGCTGCTGTGCTTGCTCCATGTGCAGGATGTAATTAACACTTCTGGGTTGTCTTGCAACTAGCACAGTCCAGCTGATCAGCAGCAGCCTTTCAGGTGGAATAAAAGAGTGGGATGTTTTGTCCCCTGCCTCTCAAAATTCACCTGCAGAAAAGGCATTTCAGGAATGGGCATCACAATGTGTGATCTACAACAGGGTGATGGAAAGGAAATAGAAGGAAGGCTTAGGCTGGGCAGCAGGGAAAGCTGGCTGGCACCAAGATCAGAGGGCCTGGATGGGCTGCACTTGAAACTGGAGGGGGTGAAGCACTTGCAGAGCAGATTAGGCCTGCCCTGGCCTCAGAAGTGGGGAATAAATGACCTGTTAAGGCTCTCTCTTTAAAGAGACACCATCACCCCTGAGATGCCACTACAGACAGCCCCAAAAACAAATCTACTGGAAGATTGTTTCCTTGTGTCTGTGATGGAGGAGTGTCATGGTAAAACATATCCTGGGTTTAAGCCATAAACATCTGCACTTTTTCATTTCATGTACACATGACATGATTTGTTTCCTGCTCCTTTTATCTGTAAGGTAAAAATGCTTTTACTAGAGTTTACAATGCAGTATGCCTCACAGTCTTGCAACCTGTGTGCGTGCATGTCTTTTGCTGCCAGTTTCTGGGGCACAGACACTCTAATGTCACCTGGTGACCTGGATCCATCCCTCTCACCTGCCTCTGCCTAGAGCTGATTTGCCAGCAGGAACAGGGGTCCAAGACATGGAGCTCTCCAAGATACCTTGCTGTCATCTCAGCATACCCTGTGCCCTCAGAAATGGCTGAGCAGATCACTGGCTAAAGGAGGGGCGGAGCTGGCTCTGTGAGTCACTTTTTGGCTGATCCTGTTTGGAAAATGTGAAGTATGAACGCAGTGGTCCTCCAAACTATGTATGTGTGTATGTACATATATAAAAACATACACACTTGTTCACACATCTTTTGTGCTCAACCATTTATCTTTGTTGTCCAGCCCTTAAATCTGTGGTGGCTTAGGCGGTATACAGCCTTTTGAGGAATGAGTTTTCTAACTGGAGTGCCATAGAAATAGACTCACCAAAGGACTGGGTTGATCCAAGATTTGCATAAGTCTTTAACAGCTCTTTAAGGTCAAGGCATTAAATCTATCCAGCCCAGTGCTTCAGAATGCCTTGCTGTTCTCCAGCTGTAATGTGTCACATTGACTCTCCTGTGACACTAGAGCCTCTAGTTTTAGGTCAGGTCAGTAGCTTCATACACCAGATAAGCCCTCAATTGACTTTAATATGCAGTACTAGAAAACTGACATTATCCTCTTGACAGGTTGTTTGCAACTTGCTGAATGAAGTCAAAATATTTCACTATAGGTGTCATCAGAAACCACCATCCTATGCTAATTTTTGTGGGAACATGAAGACAGATGTTGAATAATTTGACATGAGCAGCATAGCTTTTAAAATTATCACTGTGTCTGGTTTGCACTGGAGTTTTTGAAATATATATATGTATTTCAGATGAGTTTGAGAGAGGGGGAGATAGGTATAATAAGTGACTCCAAATAAATGGAAGATGCAGCAAAAGATGGACCTGGAGGTTCAGTAGTCAGACAGCAATTCAGCCATGGCAGTAAGGGGTGCTGTGCTGCTGAGGCTGCTGTTCTTATTTTTAAGGAATAAGACAAAGTGACTTCCATGCTAGTACCTTAGGGATCTTGTGACACTTCCCATCAACCAGAAGCCCTACTGTTTTGCCTGTGTTTTGATGAGTTACTGCTATTCTGCTTGCTTGAATAGTGCATTTTCAGGCTTCCAGTCCCTCCCTCCACACATACTGTGCTCTCTTGGTTCATTAAGCATAGTCTATGGCTAAGAAACATGCCTGTGTGGCTGCGACTTGTTGTGAGGAGGGCAGAGTTGGGGGGTGGGGGGGTAGGAAATTACCTTTTGGCCAATGCCAGTGTGCTGGCACAAGTAATAGAGAGAGATGCATTTCAGCTAGTGAAAGACTACTTGGGATGGAAGGTGTTTCTTAGGCTGTGGAAATGTCCTTAACCCTACCTGCAAAAGGTTTCTTCAGTTAGCATAAGGTAAGTCTACAGTCAACTGGTTTACCTGTGTAGCGCTGGAGAGACAGTTCACCCGTTAAGTTCTCATCAGGGTAGGTGAGATGTTAGTACCTTTTCTGCAGAAAGGTTGCTGTGTTCTGTCATCATAATGGGCTATGTTTTGCTGTAGGGAAGATGAGCTTTCTAGAAAACAGGCTGTGGATAATGTTGGTTTGTCCTCAGAGATGCTGTAGGTAATACAGTGTGTGATTCTTTAGGCTGTACCTGGTAGCCCAGATTTTAGGTACACTGAAACTATTAAGAAAACTGAGACCATTTTAGATTTCAAGCGGTCAAGGTGTCCCAGACACCTTTTGCTGATCATCATCTGCCGGTGTGGCACAGGTTTAAATTCAGAAGGGGAAAATGTGCCAGTGTCTCCTGGGCTTGTGGAGGAAGGGAGGGATATGGCACTGACACCACACAGCAGAATGCTGATCTGGCAAGGCCTTCAGGATTCACCAGAGAGAGTGATGTGTTGTGAAGAAATGAGAGAGGAGAGTTTGTGTGTTTCATGTCTTTGTGCCCATGTTTAACTGGTGAGATTTCTACTCTGCTAGGATCCAAAGTACTTGGCTTTGAAAAGAAAAAAGCTTTCATCTGCTACTTATCTGGGGGAAGCGGTTGAAGAAACAACAAAAGTTTGTTTTTATAGCCAAACGCTTGCTGTTTAGATGAAGAAATTAATGGAGCTGACAATCAAAAGCGCTGCATTGAGGGAAAGAGGTCGAGAAGTGGAGCCAGGAAAAGGAGATCCTGGGCATCAGCTGATCTTGGCTCAACAAAATTCACGTGGGAGAAGGGCGCTTACCGACAGGTTAGCTAGGACAGGACTTGCCGGGAGGCAGAGAGACTTTTGTCAGGTGTTTCACGGAACGAAGGCTTAGACTCCTGTTTCTTTTCCTGACTTCTGCCCAGGCACAGCACGGTGCTGCAGGCGGCTCCTGCTTCCCCTCCCGCCCAAGGGAAAGGCGCAGGAAGCTGCCCGTCCTTCCCCGTGCTGCCGGCTGGCTCCTCTCCAGCTGTGCCTGCGGAGCACATCTGGGCGGCGGGGCCGCGCCGCTCCGCCGCTGCCCGGCAGAGGGAGGCGTTGGGGCCGGGACTTTCTCGGGACGCACTCCGGCTGTGGGAGCGCCCGTGTCCCGGCCGGACACGCGTGGGAAGGGCTGGCCGGGCTCGGCTTCGGGGCCGTCGGGAAACGCGGATGGCGGCTCATTCTCTCCGTGGCCACCTTGGCGGACTTCGGGCAAACCCCGCTGTCCGTCTTCCGGGACGGAAGCGTGGCAGCGAGCGCCCGGCGTCCAGGTTTTGGCGCTGACTGCCTGCGTGCCACTTTACATCTCTCCCGGGTTTGTCTTTGGGTCTGAAGCTATGTCGCACTGTACACAAGCACTTCATGACCCGCCCTCCCCAGCCCACCGCCCCACTTTTTTTTTTCCCCCCTTTTACCCTTTTCTATTTGTTTTCCTCTCTCTTCTTTGTAATACTCTTCTGGTGAAAGTGCTGTTCTTCTGTTCCTTCTTGTTCATTTCCAAAGATCATACAATAAAGTGAGTGCAGGTTTCTTAAATCCTTCATTAACCTTTTTTTTTTTTTCATGTGTCTATGTAGATGTGGTCTTGTGATTTGTTGTTGTTGCTGTTCATTTAGGGGTTTGTTTGGTTTTGGTTCTCAAAAGGAAAAGGTATTTAAGGATTAAAGGAATCTGAACAGATTTGAGGGAAGATGAATCCTCATTGCCTTGCTCTGGAAGAAGGAGAAAAGACAGCAAGGTGAGGTCTGGCTATCAGGGCTCTAAAATCATCAGGTGAGGTCATTAGTGCTCCAATATATCTATCACCTTGGTTCTGTAAGGCAGCAGATCTGAGGGGGCCGCAGCACAAGTATTTGATTGATGCCGGTGCTTTGGCTCTTGGAAAACATGGGCTTAGGGGCCCTAGCTTAAAGCAGAATTGTCTTTTGAGCATTGTGGCTGCCTGCAGGGAGTTCTTTGCACCAGTGTATTTGCTGCGCTGTATCCAAGGTCAGCTTCTGACTATTAAGCTCTAGGTTTAATGCCCAAATACTCTGGTCCCTGGCTGGGGAAGGGAGATGCCTAAAGTTAACCAGGGAAGTAGAGAGAGAACTGAATATAAATGATTAGTTCTTTAAATTTTCTACTTGTTCTTCTAGATTAGACAGTCTGGGTACTCCATTGTGTGCTTGTGACTGTATTCCCAAAATGTATAGAGCGCTTTATGGTTCTAGTAATGTTTGAACTCCTCTGAGAAAAATGCTCCCTCTGTATGCCTCTGTAAAGCACTCTGTGTTCTCAGTATTGTGCTAGTAATGAACAGCAGTGTAGACACAATTATATATTTCAGTGGTTGCAAATAAGGCAGGACAGCCCACTGGTGATTTGAAGTCACCTGGTGATTTGAAGTCACCAACACTGCTCTCAGAGCAGGTCACAGTGATGTGCTTGGCTGCACACCCCCGGGGAGAGGGTGTATCAAGGTGGCAAGCAAGGATCTCTAGCAGCTTTTATTGATTTTGCCGGCCTCTTGCTTTCTTGTGGCTCTTTTCACTCGTGCTGCAAATTGCTCGTGGCCGTGGTGTTGGCTGTTATCCCTTTGCTTTAGCTTGCATAGGAAAGATCTCACTGATGTAACTAAAAATCCCTCTGACGGTAATGTGGCGGCTTGTGGTTTCTCTCCACTGTGAGCTGTAGTGTAGGACAAATGGCATGCAGATACTTTACTGAGTTTATGTAAATGAAAATGATGGCAGGGTGAGGACAGCAATCGACAAAGGTGCAGTAAGAACAGCAGTTTCTGAAGACAAATTAGCAAACGCTGTCTAAAGGAGAACTGACATAACATTGAAAGCTAAAGTCAAGCTGTGAGAAAGGCTTTAGGATGTCTGCAGGTGGACATTTAATACAAGAGTAACTGCTTGCTGTTCCTGCTCCTGTTCGGAAGGAAATGATCCTTCACTAATTAGTGTAAATTGTTTTAAAATAAATGTGGGTGGGAATCTTGTGCATCTCTTGTGTGCCTTTGTGATGAAATAAAAAGGAAAAACAAAGATATGATTCAGACAGGTGTTTGAGAAATGTGTCAAAATGGCTTTTGCTTACAAATACCTTTTCACCTTCTTGCTTCTTGCATGCCTTGCACAGTGGAAAAAAGGCATTTATAGATTTAGAGTGAAGAATTACTGTCTTTTGCTAAGTTTAATAAATGGATTAGTCTACTTGGAGCATTCCTCAGAATAGCAGAAATGTGAGAAACGGAGGCTCACAAAAGTAACCTGAGCAGCAAGAGCCAGCTGGGGATGGGAGACTAAACTCCCTTGCCAGTCAAGTGAATCCAGCTGGGATGTTAAGAAAATTTAACTGGTGGGGGCATTTCCACTGCAGTTGTCAGACCCTGAAAATCCCTCTCAGAGTGCACATGTAGAATTTCTTGTGTTTCCCATCACTGTAATATCCCTGAACTTCCATCTTTACAATGCCCCTGTTGCCTACAGTTATTCCATTCTGCATGTGGGGAAATGAGATGGAGATTAAGTGATTTGCCCGTAGCAGAATGGAGAATCGAACATCAGCGAAGTTTTAACCATCCTTTTCTCTCTGGTAAAGTGCAGCTGGTATTAAGTGCAATCCCTGTGGCTGATAGATTCAAGGTAAATACATCCTCAATAAGAAGGCATAAGCCACTGAAAACAGGCTTTGATCCAGGTATCGCAGAATCAAGCTTTTTTAATAAGAAAACACAACCATGTTTTGTCTTTCACTACTAATTTAGCTCATCTTTGTACACAGGTTAGGATTTATTTTAGGACATCTCTTGGAGGTCTTCTAGAAGTTGAGCCTTACTGTACAGTACTGGGAGAGAAAGAAATCTTTCAATTGCGGATACATACATGGCTTTGCTGTGTGGATCTGCAGAAGGACCAGTTTCAGAATCTGTTGACTCATTCTGCAACAATTTAAATTATTTTGCACTTGATCAAAGAAGCAGTATTTCTTGCTCCGAAAAGCCTCTGTCATGAATGGAGGAAATTAAATGACTGTTGCTTGTACCTGGAGGAAAGGACAAAAAGTCTGTGTTTGCTATGAAGGAGCAAAGATTTGGGATGGGAAGAAAAGCAGGGGACCATACAATTGGTACATGATGGGGGACAGTGTCTGGGACAAAGGAGAGAAGTTGTGATAACAAGGGTGGAGCTATGTCTCCAAAATAAGGCTGGATGCCAGAGCAGAACACAGCTTTTGAAGAAGCAAAAAAGAAATCTGAATATTCCAACACGTTTTGTCATTTAAAGTATGTGCTAATCCATATTCTTATTTTTCTTACAAGTATGAAGACAGTGAGAAATTTCTAGTGTTTGTTTCCCAAATGCTAATGAGCCCAAAAGGATTTAATGTCAGTGATTTTTGTTTGACAATTCAACTTACACTGCACATGCACTATGCCTACACAGAAGTAGGAACTGTGGCTTGTGGGTGCACTCTTGAGCTCTCTTTAAACTGTCAGTTTTAGTTACTAATTGCAGTACAGCTGTAGCAGCTCAGCCTGGCCTGTGCTCCAGCCACTCATGCAACATTCTGAGTGGGCTTTGAGGTGTGTGCTGAGCCTCCTGTTCCTGGGGTCTCCTGGCAACAACATACTGCACTCGACTGCTTGATAGATAAGTTTTGGGGCACCTACATGAGGTTCATGCTTGCTTTTGGATTGCAGCACAAACAAACAGACTCAACTCCAGGCTGTACCACGGGGTGTAAATACAGCTAGCTGGCTTATTGGGTGCAGTTCAAAGTCTGAGGGCTGCAGCAGCTTAGCTACTGCAGTCCTGTAGCTGTGAACTCTAGCAAGACAAATGCCAGGGTTGCTCTTGCTCAGTGGTGTTTTTCAAGCAAGCATAGATGTAGGAGTGCAAACTGGCTTAATGCAGTTTGATGTGGTGAAAAAAACCCTCTGAACAACAGGTCTAAGAATTAATCTTTAATTTTGAAAAACTAGTCCTGAATAACTCCTTGCATAGACAAGCACTGCATTTAGCTGTGATTAAGTTTCTAAATTGTTTTTCAAAACTGTATAGTCAAGCTCCTGAACCATGTAGCTGCATCTGAAGATGTTACCCATAGAAACTAAGCTCCAGCTTTGGTTAAAATAGCACAATAATAGTTTGTTTTCTGGCTGGTCAAATGATAAGCAGCTTAGGACTTTCATCCTTATTTCAGCAGAAAAATGCAATCGACAGTAGAGAATGACTGTTTACTATGATGTGCATGATTAATACCATAAATCTTTCATGTTGGGATGTTGGGTGAGAGGCATGAATATCACTGCTACAAATTGAAAGGAGCAGTTTCTTATGTATTTGTGGTTGGTAATCAGGCTTGAAACTCCACGTAGAAGGAGAAATTAGCCAAAGTGAATGGTAGTTATTGAAACTAGAAACCACACTGGCATTTGCTAAGCCTTGGCAAAGATGCCATGCTGATTTTTGCAGATCACAATGAGCATATGTACCTACTTGTGGCTGATGGTTATTCCAAGTGGCCAGCAGTAGTGTGTGTGCTATTTGACAAACAGTTCTGCTTCCTGGATTATTATGGAGACATTTCAAAGTATGTTTGCAGCATATGGCTTGCTGAAGGAGATGGTTTTAGATAAGAGACGTTGGGTAAAACACAGTAGATCAGCTGCTTATCACTCAGCTTCAGATGGGTCAGCAGGGCATTTTATACAGACATTTAAAAGAGCAGTAAAGAAAAATGAAGCCCAGCATCACAAACTTTATTTCCTTGCGTAGAGCAGTGTGCAGAAAAGCTCCAGAAGAACTAATACTTAATAGACGGATTTTAATTTAAAAAATTGCATTTGATTGTCTCAAAGCAAGTCTAGAGGAAGTAGTAAGTGAGGATAATGGGGGAAGGAAACCATATTCATGAGCTTTTTGCTTGTTAGCCCTAAATAAAAGCTTTGCAGAAGGAGGAAGCAGGGGAAGGTGCTAAAAGTGCTGGGATCTGTGATATGCTTGGTGAGGTAGACAGGGAAATGAGAAGGAAATGTGTCTAGCTATTGCTAGATGTAAAAAAAAAAAAAGAGAGAGGAAAGAAATGGATGCTTTTGATGGTGTGTGTAAATTTGAAGAGTGAGAATATTTCTGTCTTTCATTGGCCTCATGATAATACCCTTGACATTGTTGCTGTTGAAAATGAAAGATGGGAAGAGCAAGTGAGAACCACCATCTCCATCAGGCGGAAGCCTTCCCTGAACAGGATTGCACATCTGCCAGAAAGCAATTAAAAAGTC